AGTTGGATCAATGGCTCAGTTTCCCAGTAACTTCACAGAAAAGTCATCATAGAATCACATTATATACAGAGAAGTAAGGGACCCTTGAGGATCACCTAGTCCAACTCTTGACCCTGCACAGGACTTAGAAAATTTGAACAAGGCTCTCAGGCACATGGTGGTATTGTTGGGTTGTCCTGCACAGGACTAAGAATTGGACTCAGTGGTCCTTAAGGGTCCCTTCCAGCTCAGATTCTATGATCATATGTCATTGTACTGTGTTTTACCTTTGTAGTTCATATGGCAATTCCAGCCTTTCTATGGCAGTACTGATGTAAAGGGTTGCTTATTTAGTATCACTTTCAAAGTGATTATGTCACTTTGTTCATGAGTAATACTAAAGTATTTTTTTCTTAGTATTTTTTTCTTAGTATATTTTTCTTAGCATATTTTTCTTAGTATTTTTTTAGTATTTTTGTTACTGTATCCTTTTTTTCCCTGTAAGGAAATGGTATGCTTATAAGTGGCAGTTTGTAATACAGTAATTAAATACATTAGTAATTTGGTTATCCTCAAGATCAGCTAAATAAAACTGATTTGTAAACAGTGAGTAAAGCTCCTTTTTTTCTACAATATTTTTATTTTTATTTTTAGGAATGTTGTCTCTGCAATCTGAGGGGTGGTGCATTAAAGCAAACTACTGACAAAAGGTAAGTAATACATTTTTTAGGATTTTATGTGCTTTTTTAAACATGAATCTGTTCCTATGTGCAAAGCATAGGTAGACCTGATTACTTGACAGTGTCCCTTTAAACCAAATCTTTGGAGAATGAAAGTCGCTCCTATTGCAAAGTGCCTCTGGCATTTTGTGAAATAGTTAGATACTAGAATGCACATTTGTTTTAGTATTTGCACGCACTTGCTTGTTCGAAATTTTAATCTGCTGGCAATTACTGAAGAAAGTAAATGTGTGCTCATTTGTCACTGTTTGCATGGGCAAGTCTTATCAAACAGCAAAGTGTATTTTCCTCTTTGCTCCTGGAAATTACATTGCAATACCTTTGAATTTCTAAAACCAGTATTTTCAATGAATTATTTTTAATCATATTGAATTAATTTTCAATTCTGAAGTTTTTTTCAAAAATATGCTTCTATCACACACTGTCAAAAATGATATTGTTACTGACATCCTGCTATTAACACCATCAGTATTTTTCTGTGTATCTGGATGACAGGATGCGATAGCAAGTAACCATAACAGATAAAGTGGAAAATGGTGCAGCTTAATATTTTTGCAAGCCCAATAGTAGAATAGTTTTTATGCATTTTGAATAATTTCATAATTGATTGGATTATTTTAGTAACTTAGCAATATAATGTAGATATCTTTCTTTAATGCTTTGCACTGCACTGGTAAGACATTATCTGGTTACAAGATTCTTTTTCACTTACCAGGCAAGAATTTATTTATCAGTGATTTGCAATTGATTGGAGGACCCTTGTAAATTGTCCAGTTAGGAGAAGCTCAGTCCACATCTTACCTTCAGAAAGTGTTATTACTGTAACCGTTTTAATGGAGGTTTTGACCAATACATGAAAATTCTCAGCTGATTTGAGTTCTATTTTATACTCCCCTAAATCTACTACTTGCTTTCTCACTAAAAAAAAAACAAAAAGAAAGGGGGGAGGGGAAGAAAATTACAGAAGTATTATCGCAGTAGAATTTATCATGCCCTTTTGATACTTGCTGATAGATTCCATTTGTATCTTTAAAAACATGTAAATCTTTTTTTGTAGACTAATTGAACTTTTTTTTCAAATGCTTTATAAGATGTACTCATAGGAAAAAAATTCCACAGGGGTGTGCATGAAGTTACTTTCGTTGTATAACTATACCTGAAGTCTTTGAATTTCCATTCTATCACTCTGTAGGTTAGTGTTATGGATTTATGAAATAAGAGTTCTCTAAAATCAGTTCAACTCTTGTTTTCTTTTTCTATAACATGTTATAGTTGTTACATCTATCTTTCAGCACTAGCTACCATTCAAAAATGTTGAGCTTTTAGAAATGTATGTTAGTTATGTCCTTTTTCTCCAAAAAGTGTAAAATCTAATGTGTATTCCCTGCACTCCTTCTTTCCTTCTTACACACTGACTAGAGATAGAAGAGGAGCATTACATACATTTAAAATCTAATGGATCAAACATGGTGTGTGTGGTAAGCAGTTTGCCGTGTAGGAGAGCTGAGGTTCTTTCTTGTCAGCAGAACACAGCAATCATTTTGAGTCAGTTAGGCTGTGAGATGTCAGAGTATAAATGTCTGGGTGAAGATTTATTGAAGAGGCATTTTATTTATAGCATTTCTGCCCAGAAAACGTAAATGGTAACGCAGCGTAGTTTAGCAGGTGGGCAGGCAGCAATGAGAAGGAAAAGGGTGTTATTAAAAGTATAAAAAAGTCTCAAGACTCTTTTCTGCAATAAACAAACCTGTCACCATAATAAAATGATAGAGCCACAAGCTTTATCTGCTTTTATTTGGGCTGAACTGTATAACTTGCTAATTGATATGTCATCTTTACATACAGCTCTTGTTTCACACTTTGACCAATACAACTCTAAAGTCACATAACAGCAGTTTGTTTAGTCCCTGTGTGTCATATTAGCAGCACATTTTCTAGACATTTTTTGTCAAAGATGACTTATTAAAATATCACCACTCAAGTGCAGGAAGGATAAATTAGATATGTTTTCTGCAACACACTCCATCTCTTTCAGCTCCAGCCCACATTTGTGTTAATCTGCTAAGATGCTCATATAATGTGTGTCTCTAGAGATGTACAGAAAGTGAGGTAAGGCAAGCATTCAGGGCCTACAGAAATAGAGCAAATGGGGTAATGAAACCAGATGTACAGTGGATGACAGAGAATAAGGCAAATATTAATAAAAGAATGGACATGTTTTTCTTTCTTCAGATTTAGTACTTGTCTACCCCAGAAGGATTTTAGTTGTCTCAGAAGACTACTCTTAGTAAAAATGTTGTTCGCTCCTCTATTACTTAATGAAACATACACTTTCAATAGTAATTTAAAAATGTTTTTTATTTTCATTTAGCCTTTCTTATTTTGAGATTTATGTATCGAAACAGGATTTGGAGGATAATAGCAGTGTTTTCTGATGAGTGTTGGAAGCACATAGCATCATCTGACAAACTTCCTGAAGTCAGACTGAGCTTTTAGACATATCATTGGTCCTAGGCACTTGCAGGTGCTTTTGTTGCTGAAGGGAATGCAGTTCATGTTGGAAATTACACTGATCACTTTGCTGTTTCTATGCCATTGTGTCTGTAAACAGAACATCTTGATAGTATACTTCCTTTTGCATTTTGATAAATATATGACTGATTGTGATCATGTGTATTGCCTAAAAATGATTACTTAGGTCTGAGTAAAGTTAATCCAAAATGCTGTAGGTGATAAATTGCACATCAACCAAATAGAGTGGTCTTTACACTTGTATCTGAATAGCACAGCTACAAAACCTTTGCTCTTAATAAATTGAAAGATGCTTTAAAAAATGTTGCAATAAAACTTCAGTGTGAAATTGTATTTTCAGAAAGTGGTAGTGCTGTAAGGTTTCTTAAGGTGTTTCAAAGAAGCTGAGGAAATCCTAGTAAGGAAATAACTAGAGATGATTGCCTTTAAAAAAAGCGAACCAAAATAAAAAAAATTCAACCACAATAATAATAATGTTTAAGAAAAAAATCTTAAACACTTGTATTTCTGTGAGGTTTTTTTGGTGGTATTTTTGACTTGCCACTTTTCACAGGTGGGCACATGTGATATGTGCAATTGCCATCCCAGAAGTCAAATTTGGTAACGTCGTGGAACGTACTCCGATAGACACTAGCGGAGTACCTTTGGAAAGATTTCAATTGGTGAGTAATATATTAATATGTGCTCCATATATGCTTTTCTATTAAGGTGTTCCAATATTTGAAATGTATTAAAAATCTGAATTGTGATAAAATTGCCTGGTAAAGAGCAGTAAACTATGGCTAAGATAAGGAATAAATAATCAGTTTTATCAAGATGGGCCTTTTGACACATAATGGCATTTTGTTAACACTGGTAACAGCATTTGGTATTTTGTCCTTCCCCTAAAGAAGAATAGACTTGACCACCAGTGTCAACTGTGAAGATTTAAATTCTTGAACTGTATTGGTGATGAAACCCAAACAGAGTGGGAATATTACACGGTACATATTCATGAGGTCTTCTTATTATGGATTTTTGCCTCAAGGAGCTATTTATTTAGGTAAAAGGATATATGATCTGTTTGTTACTGGTATCTCTACCATTTGTACAGTGAGAAATGTGCCTAAAACAGATCACGCATTAAACATGGACATTCAAGAAAGCTGAGGTACCAAAGCAGAAGCTATGTACAACTGCAATATACTTTTTCTTGCTATGTTGCATAAGAATTACTTAATTGGTCAGTATGTGCATGACTGTGACGTCATCTGAAAGAAAGAAAGCAGTTACAGTCCCATTCAAAGTCTTAGAGAAAGCATAAGTTTTC